CAAGCATTAGGCTTCCTTGGGAATGTCTTTATCCTACCCCAAATTATCTTCTCTGACATAGGAGATAATGTAGTTGACTTAAGTGCTGTGACATGCAAATCAACAGATGCAGAAACACACACTGGAATTTGGCCTTTGTTGTTTCCAATCGTCATTTTATCGAAGTTAACTACACACTTCCTTAGTATTATATAGTCTAATCCTAATATGCATTGGTCTTCAAAGTCAGGCAAGTATACTTTCTGTCTGTTCTTCATGCCCATGAGCTCAATAGTTACCCACACAACCTTGCATAATGTCCTGTCACACCACAGAGCTTCTGTACAGCTTCTGGTACTCCTTCGTGATACAGCATCTTGATGCTCACAAGGATTTGTCGAGACACAGAATCTATGACAAAGTCGCACGTTTGGCCATCCAGCTTTCCTGTCACATAGACATTATGTGTGCTTGGCATTTTACATCTAGCTGTTGGGACTTTCATGATGGGGGTTGGTGGGCATACCTCAACACCAACCACTACTGGTTTCCTCGAGGCTGACTCATTGTTAGTATTCTTCTTTCACTGGCTCCTCATATGTCCTTGCTCTCCACAGTTCCAACAACCTTTCTGGGTAGCAGCCTTTCCTACTGTGGCATCTTTCCTGTGTTGAAGTTGCCAGCATTGAGCTCTCTTGTGCCCAGGTTTATTACAGTGCCAACAAAGCCCCTCAAACTTCTATGAAAGCTGCCCTTTTCTGGCCTTTAATCCTGATGACTGTACCAACCTTGTTACCTCTGTGCTGGACATAATGTAAAATTCAAATTTAAGAGCTCTGGCCAATGCATCCTGCATAGTAGAGAGGTGTGCTTGCTTCACTTGTATCTTCAGTTGTGGACTGTCCAAGGCATCTATAAACTGATCCCTCAACAACAACTTGAGGAGATCGAGTGGCGCAGTTGGGTAGGCCTTGTGTGCCATACTTTACAAATCCTGTGCCAGATCTTGCAGGCTCTCCCCTTCAGCACGGACACTTGTCCTAAACCTAGCCCTGTAGACTTTGGACTGATTTTGGGTTCTAGAGCAGCTACCAGTGCTCTATAGTTGTGCCTGTTGTCTGCTGACAACTGTCCAAGTATTCCCAGTCATTGTACCTTCAGGCTCGTTGCCAGATATACTTCTTTCTGCTCCTCTGTCCATCCATTCATTTCTGTTAGGAGCTCAAATTGTGCTCTATATGCTTCCCATGGTGCCTTCCCATCGAATTCCTCTGGCTTCCTTCTTACTAGATCACCCCTATTGCTGACATTCATGTCTGGGATGTGACTTCTAACAGGACTGAAGATGTCTGCATTAGGGTTTAGCTGCAAGGTCTGGGAGGGGCTTCCTGTTGTGTGGAGCTGATTAGGCCCATGGCTAATACATCCTCGTTGTGTAAAAGACAATAAATCGTTCTTTAATGTATTTAATTCACTTTGAAATTTACTTATCTTTTCCATTTGTGTATGCTGGCTTTCTCTCAACTGTTGGAGGCTTTCTTCTTGTTCATTTTCTTTCTCCTCCAACCACTGCTGTAATCTCTCTTCTTGTTTCTTTTCTTTTTCCTCCAACAACTGCTGTAATCTCTCGTCTTGTTTCTTTTCTCCTTCTTCTTGTTTCTTTTGCTGTTCTTGTATTGCTGCCATCAAATATGCTAAGTTGTAGGTTTATTT